CATTTAAAGGTGAATTTATTAAAAAAAAAGTCATATACCTAACATTAAGTAAAAAAAAAGAAAAAGAATGTGTTTTTTGCCCATGGAAAACCTGACTGGAATTACTGTATCATGACAACTACACTGGTCCGGCTACCATGGCACCTTTGTTCCAGTGGAAAGTCATCAGGAATAAAAGCCATCTGGCCTATGGCCCTTCACACTGGCTGAAGGATAATCTGCTGTGCTACAGAGATAAAGGAAAGCTGCTTTTTCCCCTCATTTTCTTCATATCTAATAACAAGGACTAATAAAAAACCAAAGTGTTTTAACATCTGGATTCCAGGACTTCGTTCACCCAGGAAGAAAGCCTACAATGCATTTTAACTGTAAAAATCCAATTTATTTCATTTTACTAGGAGCAATTCAATTACTTGGCTAAATATTTACATCAAATAGAGTTCAGTATGCTTCATATATTATAGTTTGCATTAAAAAGGGCTGGGTTCAGCAAGTTAACTCATCATACCCATAACAGCACAAAACCCCTTGCTGCAACGCTAGCACTGCCTCTGCAGATTGCCATTTACAGGATTCCTTTCCATTTCTGGTAGGATACCATGCTGAACCTGTCTTTTGGAGATGGATTTAATTGTAGAGAAAGAGGAGCCCTGAGCTCCAAAACAGCCACGGGTCTAAGACAGACTTTAGGAATAACAGGCGCAATAGTCCGAGATGGAGATTGAAACTTGGACAGCAATCTTTTAATTCCCAAATCCTTCTGGGCTGAGGAAGTTGTCAGCCTGCCACCCCTGCTGAGTTACAGTCCTCAATGCCTTTTCTCTCCAACACAGAATTCATCTCCTACTAAGCAGTATCCCACAACAAAAAAATCTCTGGAAAGAACCAGTGAAGGAAGCATCGCACTGCTACTTGCAATAGACGCAGATCATGGAATCATCTTGATTACCAGCAAATCCCAATAATCTGGGGTAACTACACAGCATGTTACACGGCTGTTCTCCACGCAGCGGGTAAGAAAACAGCAGTGATACTAGATTTTTAAAGGCACTCTCAAATAATCCTCCCAGTGCAAAAGTACTGCAGGCCTGCAGGGGTCTAGAGACTTGTGGTTTAAAAGTTGACAGCTATTGCAAAGCAGCTCTCCGTGGAAAACAAAGATCCATGTAATAAAAATCATTTTTCCTATCAACCACGACAATCAACAGCACAGTGTGAGGCAATCCAAGATCCAGAATCCTGAGCAACCAGGTTTCGGTGAGCAGCAGACAGATTGCAGTGAGCACCTCGGATGCATAGCGAAGTACCGAGTAGTGCAAAATGGTTAGTGAACATCCTAAGGGAAGAAATGCCAGCCTCTGGATGTAGCAAAATTCTTACACATAAGACTTGCTATGGAAGCGACTACAACAGTTGGAGTTACTGAGCCCAGGAGCTTTCCAGAAGATTCCAGGACACACAGAAACGTAACTTTCCTTCCTGTATGGGCATCAATAATGTCAAAGAAATCCATTTACTTCATACCAAGTTTTTCTCTAGTCTGAAATGTATACACACAGATCAGCTTTCCAACAGAGGGAAATAATTAGTATATATATATATTTAGTATCTATAAATATATAGTCCCACACTGCCCTTTTAGTCCTCATCACACTTGTAGGAAGCACAGGTAAGCCCTTCCCAAATCTTTGCCTGCGAAACCAAGCCAACAATCAATCGATCAATATATAGTATATATATTTAGCATGTATACTTTCAATTTTAACATGTAGCCATGCTTCTATTGTATCTCCCAAATCTGTTCAGTTTGGTGTTCACGGGATAAAGAACACCGTTTCCTCTAGCCTGGGAAGCAAACCACGTATTTGCCTACTTTGAATTAACTAGTGCACACTTCTGAACAAATTCCTGTTTCCTGCCTGTATTACAGAAGTAGCTTTAATTGTGTGTGCTTCTAAATGAAGGTTTTATTCCTCTCTCTGAAAAAGTGTGGTTTCACTTTTTACTGTTCAGCTCTGAACCTATAAATGAGCAGAAACAACATCTATTTATCAAGTTTTACCTTACTGTGAGGTTACCTAGTTAAAAGATCCTTGCTACCGTCTGTGGTATTACCTTTCTCCTGATGAACTTCTGCCCACTGAATGACAGGAGAAAGGGGGAAATCTGGTTTGTTTCTTTTTCAGAAGCATTTCCTTAGTGTAGACTAGCATGAAACCAGTAATAGAACTTGCATGTGAGACAGCTGACTTTCAATAAAACAATGTTTCTGCTTATAAAAACTCATGAATAAAGATGACTTTCTTTCCATTCAAATTAAATTCAGTTGGCAACTTCACATTCCAATACATGCAAATGGATGAGGACAGCTGACCAGAACATTAAAGAGGACATAGTTCTACTCAAAATACACCTCCACCAAGACAAAAATTCACACCTTCTTATCTTTTCACAGCTATTATTACTAGTGACATCTTTTGCTGTCAGCCAAAGACATTGTCTTTTTGCACCTTCTTTCTTTTGCATATTGAAGAGCACTTCTGTTCCAGTATTAGGCACACAGGCAGTGTGCTGAATAATTTCCTATGAGAGGCTGTCACGAGAATAGAAAGAGCATCTTGCGAAAGAAAAAAAGGGCTTAATAAATCATTCCTAAAAATCTGGGCAACTCAGACCTTACTCAGCTGCATCTCCATGAATTAAATACCAAACACACTGCTGAGTTGGAAGCATCACTTTGCCTTGTTTCCAAAACACACAACTATGAAAGGTGAGAGAACCCTAAAAATAATATGGCTATGCATTTTCTGCTTCAATGCCACTTCCATGCCATACACTGAATACTACAGGGATCAGAATATGCCACAAAAGGGTTTTCTTCAGTTATAGCTCAATATTGTAAATGCCCGTCACAAGTCTCTCTTCTCTCTACAAACAGAACCTGAAAACAGCCTGAATTAAAGTACTGGTGCACCTACCAAAAGCCAGCTCCATGGCAGACTGGCACCTAGATACAGAGCACTACACAGCCAAAAAAGGATGCATCCTCCTGAAGCCTGATCCCAAGTTCACCAAATTCTTTCAAAGTCCATAGCAAATATCCAGAGAAACACCTTAATGGAACTCTCCCGACTCTCTCTAAACCACCTCTGTATTAGGAAAATAGCCAAAAGAGAAGCAAACCTTTAACTGAGTAATCTCAGGAACCCAAAAGGCTTGGCTTTCACAGCACAGCCAAGAGATGGCAAAGAGGCAGATCTCCACACCACAAAACCTTTCAACTCCACCCTGCATTAAGTTTGAAGTGAGTACCCAGGGGCATTAAGGACAGAGCTGCAACACCTGATCCGGCCAGCTCCAGACTGCTGGCAGCCAGGAATTCTCAGCTTGGAAAGGGCTCCCTATTCCGAGAAGTACAATATGGATCTTGCACTTCCATCCTGGCAAACAAGCAGGCAGAGATGACTGGCAAATAAAGTAATCCTCGGGAGCCCAGCCACTGATCAGACAATAAAAACATCTTGAAATGCCTAGCAGGTGATGTAAGGTCTTAGATAGAAGAACCAGAACACTACATGACTGGAAGATTCGTAGTACAATGGCAAGCACCTTCTGCTTTATACATATACCTCAAGTAAGGAGAGGGATACACGAACGCACCCACTCCCACACTACAAGGGGAAATTTGCCAGTAAGATGACTGGACATAGGTTAGAATACACATGGAAACTCGCGTGAAGGAAAAAAGGAAACCAACATATTGCGGGTACAAATGGGGCTAGGGGGATATTCCTCTTTTACTCACTTATCCCTGTGTTAATTTATAACCACCAACGTAAAACACGGGCTTCATGCAACTGTTGTTCAAACAAAACATTCATAATATCGCATCAATGACAAATGGAGCTTAGAATCTGATGTTCAAACATAACACAGAACCTTAAAAAAAACCCTGTAGAGCTTTCACTGTAGCTTCCCAGCAACAACACTAAAACCCATACAGCACTGCCACCCAGAATACAGAAAAATGGGTTTTCTTAAGATCACCAAAATGAATAGGAATTAGCAAAATTAACAGATGCTGAGGTTAGGAGACATTAAGCAAATGTTTCCAAAAAGTTACTTTACTAAAACCAAAGTGAATGCAATGGAAACCGAGCTCTATTCAGAGGTCAAACAAAACAACTTCCCACCACGTAGGATGTGCTTTGACAACACTATTGAGCCAGTCTAACAGTTATTGTCAAGAGTCTCGTCTTCCTCCTCTCCAACCACACCTTTTGCAAGCACTGTCACTGACAGTGAGTCAGTTCAAGGAACCAGCCCTCAAAGAACCTTTTCTGGGTTTTGGTTAAGATTAGCTTTCAGAACACAGAGATTCAACAGCAATCATGCAGAAAGGGGGACAGGGCTGGCAAAGGGGACAGAAAACAGAACTGCATCTAATCATTGTATCAGCAGAGCTGTTCTGTCAAGTCCCAGTTTCAGTCACTGCAGCTCAGCCTCAAACCTGTGAAAGTCCTCTCTTGAGCACAGCTCTGTTTCATGCTCCTGGTTTCATTACTGCTACAGTTGTTTTCAACGAATTTTCAGTCATCAGGATCTCAACTGGAAGCACAGGCAGAGCTTGCCACTCCATCACAGCAGTCATTTAAACATATATCGACACAACTACTACTTCTAAAAGTAAGAATCCTACAGCTATCTGGACAAGGCAAAGATCAAATCGCTGTGGTTTCCTATCGCAGCTGAACAACATCGGAAACTTCCATCCAACTCAATGAATATTTGACGAGCACATTTTTCCTGCTTGTGAAAAAGCAAATTTTGGAATTTCACATTTCATTTCCTTCTTTTTCTTTGTTTCCTTGACAGTGTCGGGATCAAAAGATTTCGCAACGCCAAGATGCAGAACTAAGATCAAGAAATGTCACGCAGCAGGTTTCTCACCAGTACTACTCACAAGGCCAAGAAGCTCGCTTTCCCCACTCACCGCTTACCTTTCCGGATGCAGATCAGCTCATGTACACCACAAGTTCGTTCTCCACCTGTGTGGAAAGAAATCATGAGAAAATAGTATCAGACTGGTTTCTCAGTAAGTCAGTATTTGGCTTTTTGATAAGGCTTATAAAGAGTAGAAAAGCAAAAGCTGTAAACCCATGCCATTCATTGAAATGAAGAAGACTGATTCAACACATTTTCCATTTACACATTCTATCCTTTGGAGAAAACAATAAATGTACCTTTGGCTTAATATTGCTAATGATGGTGCAGGGAGAAGAGTTTTACAGATGAAATCACAAGACAAACAAGTTAATGGAAGCCACACTAGTATTTCCCAAGTATAGAACAATTTCCTGTTCTGTAGCCATCTACAGAAGACATCTCAAAACAGCACCTGTATTGGTACCCAAACAGAATGCCAAAATAATGTTATGAGTCTCTTCCACAGTAAAATACTGTTAACATGGTAAAGGCTGGGTCCACCTGCAATTTCTTCTTAAGGGTTTTTTTTTTTTTGGTAATTAAGAAAACAGCTATACACAATTTGAGACATTCATGTGAGAACAATAAAATCGATGCTAGAAAAAGGAAGCTTTACATTTTAATAAAACCCATTTTAATGCTAGCATTACAGCTATCAAACAAACACCAACACATACTGCACCTAGTGAGGACAACGAATGGGGCCACAAAGGAAAGAGCCAACCGTGTGGAAAGAGGAAGGTGTGATACAGAAGGGGACATGAAACAAGCTATTGCTAAGCACTGCAGAAGAAAGGAACAGGCACTGAGGAGATTCTTTTAATGACACCCAGAAAATATTGGAAGAGCTGCTTTCTTAATTAAGATGACTTTACATTGAATGCATTTAGAGTATTCATGATCCTCTTTTAATGATACACCCCGCGGTCGTACGTTAAAATTCCATATGTAAGAATCACCAGTAGGCTCCAAACACTTCACAACACCCTAAAACAAGCCTTAGATAACAAAATTCCTTCCACCTCAAAACCATGGAAGTGCATTATATACCTCTTATTCCTCTCCTTCATTCTGTAATAAGGCAATTGTGCCATATAATAAGGGCTATTATGATATAATATAAACTAGTCCTGAAAACTCATAATCGATAGCACTAACAGATAGTGTTGTGGAAGTGTATTTGTAGCCAGATTTATGTTTTAAAGAAGTAGTGTAGGAAATGAATGTATTAAAGGGAAAAAAAAAAAGGGCAAAAGGTGTCAGATAAATGGGAGTAAAACGTACTTACTCCAAATGAAATTAAATGTCTGTGAGGTATGAAGCTGAAATACTCCTCATTTTATGACAGCATACCCTTTTTCATATTCAGTCATGTAACACACGAGCCTCAAAGATACTCCTGAATGGGAAATCAAGTCTTAGTGAGACTGAGCATCCTGTGAGGTGTGTATAGTCATGGCTGGTACAACACCCGTGTAATAATCCCCTCTTTTCAGTGTGTTCTAGAAGCTGGACAATATCATTTCCATTCAGGAAACATTTTGGAATGAAAACATAACAGAAATTAAGTAAAAATAATAAACTCCCCTGTTTTTACAATGAAGCGTTTTAAATAAACCCCAACCTTTGGGAGGAGATTCCAATCTTCTTTAAAGTCACTGCAATGACTTGCATGCTACAGAAGAGAAACGACAAGTGACTGGAACTTCTCTCCCTATATTTTCTTCCCCCAACAGCCTTAAAATCAGCAGTGAAGAAAGAATGAAAATGACTGAAATAGAGGATTTTTTCATTACACAGATGCGAGACAGGCAGTTAAAAATAAAGATTCACCTCGAAATGACCAAGAACAGCAGCAACATTAGATTTTACTCCACCACCTTGAAATCTCATCTTACAGAACTCATTTTAGGGTTAGATTTTACATTGCTCCCTACTGTTCTAAAGAAAGGTATCTTTTTCCAATAGTTTAGATGCTAAAATATTGCGGTGTTCCACTAAATAAAGGCTTTCAATTCATGGTCACGTTACTTTCTGTTGACCACAAGGCTATGCAATGTATTTCTGTATACAATTTAACATTCATTCACTCAGGATTTCCATTATGTTTTGTTAGGAAATGCTGAATGAGATCTCTTATTTCATAGGCAATTCATCTCCTACTCTTTTCCCAAATTACTTTGGGATGGAAATCAATGGTTAAATAAAAATCCATCAAGTGACCTATGCGTTTTGAACAGAAAGTTGAATGTCTTTTCTCTTTTAAATCAACCCATTTATGGAACACATGAAATATTATCCTCAAGTGACCTGGGCAGATTCTTCTCTTCCCTAGTGCTTTTCAAAACACACTACTGACACCCTGCTTTTACTCACAGATTAACAAACAAGCCCAAGGTTTTCCATCTTCCCAATTGCCAACAAGTCTCTCAGCTTTGAATAACGTGATCACTGGAAGAAGCTGAAAGCATTGTGCATGACAGCCAGAGGTCAACTGCTACTTTAACATTTCAGCCTGAAAAGCCCGGTTTTGTGCCATTTAGCCCACAAATCCCAATGGTTCGGTGACACGACCGCCTTACCTTCTGCAGTCTTGAAATGTTACTTGAAAGTGATTCGACTACAGTGGTAGTTCGCTCTAGAGTTAATTAAAATTTAAGTTTGATTTAGATACAAATTGGAGTTAATTCTACTGCACCTTGACTATGAACATGATCTCCTCTTCAACAGTTTACAGTTCCAGGTGAGTTTGCATATAAAACTATGTAATACTTGTCCAAAATGTAATCAGGGAACACAAAAACCCAGCTGAGGCATTCAGCTCTTCATCATTTCAGACAACAGAAGTAACACGAGATGGAATCATTTCAGAACAGCATACCCAACAAAACTTAGGGGGTTTCCTGAGCAAGAACCACCACCTCGTGGCTCTAAAATCAAACTCATTCAAAGGCTTGGCACAATCAGAACAGCCAGCTGTTTTACAGAGGCAGCTGAAACACCTCGAGTTTCACCTTCTCCATTTGAGACAGAGATTGTGCATCCCAAGTCTGTGTTTGCCCAGACGATTGCCACACCAAGAAGGTTAGAAGTTGTACATCAAACAAGGTAAAGTACCACCTGAATCGATTCGATTGTCAAGTTCTGTCTTTCTAAAACTACTACAATTCAAAGTTCTACGTCCTCACTTTAGCTAAGCCTCTACCTCTACCTGCTGAAAATAACTGGCTAGGAAATCTAACACAGGCATTATCATAGAGTGACTTAGACTGGGAATGAGCTCTGGTGCTCAGAGCAGGACCACCTTTACAGGAGGTTCCTCTAGGCCTCAACCAAGAAAGTTCTGCAAGGACCAAGACCCCATCACCTCTTGGGGCACCACCAGTTCCTACGGGAAAGCAGGGAAGGTGTCACCCTGCTCATTGAGAGCACTTCTTTACTGTCACTCAGGACTTCCCTTGGTGTACCTGTGCTGGGTTAACACCAGGTGCCCACCAAAGCTGCTCTGTCACTGCCCTCCTCAGCCACACAGGGAAGAGCAAATACACCAGAAGGCTCGTGGGTCGAGACAAGGACAGGGAGAGACACTCACCAGTTACCAGCACAGGCAGAACAGACCCCACTGGGGGACATTGAGCTGTTACCAATCAAACCACAGCAGGGTGATGAGAAATGAACCAAATCTTACAACACCTTCCCCCCACCCCTCCCTTCTTCCCAGGCTCAACTTCACTCCCTGTTTCTCCACCTCCTCTTCCCCAGTAGCACAGGGGATGGGGCTGGTACATCCCACCTTGTCTCTGCTGCTCCTTCATCTTCAGGGGAAGACTCCTCACACTCCTTCCCTGCTCCAGCATGGGAAACCTCCCACAGGAAACAAGTCCTGCTTGAACTTCTCCCAAATGAATCCTCCAACAGTCACACCCTCCTTTGGGCATGCCCCTGCTCCAGCATGGGGTCTTTCATGGGCTGCAGGTGGAAACCCACCCCCCCATTAAGCTCCATGGGCTGCAGGTGGAAATCTGCTCCCCCATTAACTTCCATGGGCTGCAGGTGGAAATCTGCTCCCCCATTAACCTCCATGGGCTGTGGGGCACAGCTGCATCCCCATAGGCTGCACCACGGGCTGCAGGGAAATCTCTGCTGCAGAACCTTCTCCCCTCCTTCTGCACTGACCCTGGTGTCTGCAGAGCTGTTTCTCTCCCATGTTCTCACTCCTCCCTGGCTGCAGCTGTGCAAGGTGTTTTCTCCACCTCCCAGCTACGTTATCCCAAAGGCCCTACCACCATTGCCAGCTGGCTCAGCCTTGCCCAGTGCTGGGTCCATCTTGGAGCCAGCTGCATTGGCTCTGTGGGACACAGGGGAATCTCTTGCAGCTACCAAAACCTCACCACACAAACCAGATACAGTAGCTGACACCCATTCCCTCACGTGCACCTGAAGAACCCACCTTCGCCTCTTAGACACCCTTACGGAGTGAAAGGCTGCAGCCAGAGTCCCCTTCAGGTCTCCCCAGGCCACACAAAGCCATTTTCCAAGCCTGTCCTCATGTGCCGTGTATTCCAGCCCCCCCCAGCAGCTCAGGCAGTGCTCTGCTGGAGTCTCTCCAGTTTGTCAGTCTCTCTCATACTGGGTTAAGACACCTGGATACAGGGCAGAGGCACAGGGCTGGTCCATTTCATCTCCCTGATCACCAGGACCCTCGAGTTCCTTTGTGCAGAGTTCACAGCATCCCAGCACCATCAGTGCTGGAAGGGCCCTCTGGAGCTCATCCAGCCCAACCCCTGCCAAAGCAGGGCCACCCAGAGCAGGGCACACAGGAACGCGTCCAGGCAGGTTTGGGATGGCTCCAGAGAAGGAGACTCCACAACCTCGCTGGGCACCACTGAAAAGTCTGTGCCCATTCTCTTGGCACCACCTTTGAGATGCTGACCTGCATTGATGGGATTCCCTCTCAGGCTGCTCTTCTCTGCACTAACCAGGCCCAGCTCCTGCAATCCCTGCTCACAGCAGAGATGCTCCAGACCCCTGAGCATCCCTGTGGCCTCTGCTGGACCCTCTCTGGTAGCTCCTTATCTGTCTTGCACTGAGGAGCCCAGAACAAGAAAGACAGGTTGCTCCTGGCCAGTGTGTCTGCAGCCTGTAGTGCTGCACAGGCTTGGAGTTTTCAGTTGTCCTTCAAGTTCCTGCTGTTCCCTTCAGCCCATCCTTTGAGCCTGCTGAGCACCTACCAGAGAGCACCCCTGCCTTCCATCTAATTGAGCACCCACAAGCTCAGCAAGGGCCATTCCATCCCATTAACAACCATGTCACACAGCCTTGGCTCCAGTATCGATACTGGGGTGCGAGTTAGGCTACTGTGTAAAAACCACCTTATTCTTCGCTTCAGCAACAAATCCATCTTAGTAGCTGCAGCAGAAAATTACACCACAGTGATAGAAGTCTTTGTCACCGGGTGTAAGTTTTGGGACATACTTTTTATATGATAAACCTCTTTCCTACTGAGAGCTGTGTTTTAATCAGCATTTGCAGGAGCCTGGACTACATTCAGTGAACACTTACTTCGCATTTTATTCAACATTAGACAATTATTGTTTTCCCTTGACAAATCCATGAAATTCCAGTGAATGACAACACCGTGCAGGCTGAGAAGCATGAACAAGGTAAGGGGCACGGTGCTCATTACAGCCCCAGAGAGGCCATCCTGTCAAAGGAGAGGAGTAGCTGCTGCTCACACACACACAGACATGGCCATGGGCATGGATTCAGCAGAGCTGCTTCACTCCTGCTCCGTGACCCTCCATCAGGCAGTCAGCTTCCAGATCACGGGTCAGGCTGGCCAAGCATGCAGGATTAGAAGGCCATGTAGTGACAGGGCAAGGGTGATGGGTTCAGACTGAAACAGGGCAAGTTCAGGTTAGATCTAAGGCATAAGCTCTTCCCTGTGAGGGTGCTGAGGCGCTGGCACAGGGTGCCCAGAGAAGCTGTGGCTGCCCCATCCCTGGCAGTGCTCAAGGCCAGGTTGGACACAGGGGCTTGGAGCAAGCTGCTCTAGTGGAAGGTGTCCCTGCCCGTGGCAGGGGTTGGAGCTGGATGAGCTTTAAGGTCCCTTCCAACCCAAACCAGTCTGGGGTTCTATGGCTGTTAAACGAGAAGAAAACAGTGCTGTGCAGCAAATGCATAAAATAGAGGTGTTATGGTGCAGAAACATAACAGGGGATGCAACTGATAAAGCCTAACACACTTAAGGTTAACATGTCTGGAGCACGTGAAACCACTAACACTTTCACTGTGAATATAAGCTGCTTAGGAAACCCATTCTTATGCTAAGCTGTTTCAGACAACATATCACAAATCTGTTCTAAAAGACAACCATAATGAAAGCGTTCTGGCTTACTTATAGCAACAAATATAGTCCTTGAAATACAGCCTCATACCATGAGGTGACTTTGAAGAAGAATCCGGGTTTCAATGAGCAGACAGCTAACTGGAAAGGAAAATAAGCAACAGCTGGAAAGGCTTCCACAGAACAGCATACCCGACATACTCATCAGGCCATCCCCACCCAGGGTGTTAAAACACCTCTGCATGCCTTTAGTACCCTCTTTACAATTCATTCTGCAAGTAATACTGCATATGTACAAAATGACACGGTTGAAGTTGAATGCTCAGAAGTAGTCAAAAAAGCAAACTAAAAAGCAAACCGTGTTGGAATTCCCTAGGAAAGAACAAGTTAAAAAAATCAAATTTGCCATTTTACGTATTCATTACGTGCCCACATCTTGTCTGTTTTGTGCAGTTCTGTCCCACCACACAAGTCACAGAGAAAGGCAAACCCAGAAGTCAATAAAAATGGTTAAAAACACACATGGGTTCCATATGACGAGTGCTTTAATAGAACAAGACCCTTGGAAACATAGATGCAACAGATGGTGGGTGTAAGCAGGTGAATAAAGAACAGTTACTTACTTGTCTAACCCACTAATAACAGAAATAGGCACCAAATTAAATTAGCGGCAGACGTGCTCAAGACCAGAAGTTTTCAAGAGTAAAAGTCAGCAATCAGCTCTCAGCAAAACTCCTCCTGTGAAGACTGCCTTCCTGCTAGCACCATTGGAAATGACTGCTATCTAGTAATGTCTTACCCTAAAGTCATCCACCTGCCCTCACTTAAGCTGGGAATATTTTGTTCGTTTTCCGACCACAGAAGTTGCAACAAACATTAACTTTTCATTTTCACCTGGAAAATGTTTCATTTTAGTTATACTTGTCATCAACAGAACCAGCAGTACTCATCAGTGCCTCAGCAATCAGTGGCAATCAAGCACAGCATAGGTACTGCTGTTTCCCAAACAGGTTTTGCATCTGATCCTACCCTCCCTGAAACAAATGCAAGCACATCCCTGGCTTTACAGAAGCCAAAAAGCAATGGAGATAGGGCAGATTTTCCAAGCTATGGCACAAAGTAGAGATGTTGAAAACAGCATCACAAAAACAGTATCATCTCAGCTTCCTTTCTAGCCAGAACGACCAGAACAACATCCCTCCAACCAGAGCAGCAGGTCGAGGGAAATGGTTCTCCTCCTCTAATCAGTCCTCGGGAGATCCCACCTGCAGTACTCTGGAGCCCCCAACACAAGAGTTATTAGTTCACAAACTCATTTGCTGGCTCACAATGAACTTGCAAGAGCATCTCCAAGTTTCTCTATGTCACTCTAGAGGCAGATTTACATAGCAATCAGAGAACACCTCCCACCTCCAGCCGTTAAACACTCAAAAATTAGGAAGCACAAGGACTTGAAACCCACTTCAGTCCCCAGGTGCACGTTTGGTTTTCTACGCAGCACAGGACCTTTGCCTTCTGCAATTCAAAACCCGACAACACGCAAGGAAAAGTGTGAGTGTGCCAGCTGCGGATCCCTCACAGCACTCATTACAAAAGCTGGAAGAACTGTAGCTGAATTAGGCTGTGAGTAAGGTGAAGAGAAAATATGCCCCAATGGTTAAAGCAGCTCAAAGTTCTCCACAAGACAGTAAGAGTCCTTCCTCTCTTACAGATCCCCTACACTTTGACGGGGATCTGCATTTTCAATCAGCTAGTGACTGTGTGTTTGCGTTCCTCATGCCCATCCTAAACCCCAAGAGTTCCAATCTGCAAAAGCACTCAGCATTAAACATGAGCAGAATTCAGGAAGGATTTCACTCCAAACACATCAACTGTTCTTCAATCAAGTATGATAGCTCCATCTCAGCCCACAGGGAGCTCCTCAAAAAGAAGTCTCTAAAGCATTAGAGGTTAGATTACTGTATTTTCTTTTGAGAGGTAGCCTACTCTGTTTTCTAGAAGGAAATACAGACCTGACAGCTTCCTGCGTAGGATCATGGAACAGTTAGGGCTGGAAGGGACCTTGAAGATCATCTAGTTTCCTTTATTTCGGTAGATCTACAGCACAAGAGTGATGGCGGTGTAACACAAATCCCATCAGAAAACTGGTGGGTTTGCATATGGCACAAGGTTTTACTCTCATCAGCAAATGATGCAGGGAATCATCCTCACGATGACAATTCATACCAGGTACTGAACAGTTTTCACTACAGACAGCGAATGAGCATAAGGCAGCATTAAACAGATTCTGCGTGGCTGATCAAATCTGATACCCTGACATTTGATCCACCCCCTATTCAACAAATGTGTTTAAAAGTGGGCATAAGTATGAAAGACAGCTTCTTATGTTCAGGCTTTATTTCATACTGCTGCTGCTGCTGCTGCTGCTGCTCAACCCTTACCAACTTGCATTCAGAAGCACTACTGACAATTCAGGTCAGTGCTAACTTGAGGACCTCTGTATTACCTTACACCCTTCTAGTACGTGCGCCAGTGACACCTGAACAT